ACGGTCTTCAGCGCTGCCTCTACAGTAGACTGGGGATAGCACCAAGATTCTTCTGGATGAGTGATAGTGTTCTGTCCTAATAACTGCCCAGCCAATTTCTTACAACTTCCGCACCAAAATGTTCGAAACCTCTAGATTCCTTGCTCCCAACTTAAGGATACAAGACATATAAACGAACAATATTGTTTTCAATTAGATCCTCTTCGGGCTTTACTTCAATATAATTGGCCCAATATATTTAAAAATCAAACCACTCACTTGGATTTTAAGAAGAATATGGGGGAGGAAATGAGAGTAAACTACACTTCTTGGATGTCTTGCTAAGCAGAGGAGAAGATGGTTCACTTAGCGGATGTGTTTACGGGAAAATTACATCCATAAGTTAGTACACACATTTTCTCAGTCACGTACCCGTTCGGTACAATTCAAACCTGGTTAAATGACTCAAAAACAGAGCGAGAAGAGTGTGTTCGGATGATTCAATAAAGGAGTTAGAATATGTTCGTAATTCATGGGTCGAAACGGGCCACCCTAACAGTTTCATAAAAAGACACACGGACAAAGCAAGAGGAAAGAAACCTAGAATTATTGCCGCACGAATAAACCGTCGCTCATGGAATTGCAGTTCAATGGAGACATAGAAGAAAAAGTTTTTCATCAGACTCTCCAGAGCCATTAAGAGGGCTTTCTACACCTCACAACTCTGTCGATCATTTCCCAGTCGACCGACTGTTGTTGCTCAGACAAAAGATAAGGTATCATGTTTTTCAATTTCTACATGTATTTACACGTCTACCTGCTCCTGTTGAGAAACTTATGTAGGGCGTACTACTAGACAACTTAACGGACGTGCTGCTGAGCATCTACGTTTATGGTTGGGAAAGGGACAGATAAAACTCATCAGAAGTTCAGCTTCATCTCTACTACAGTAGTCACTTGGTAGATAAGACCAATGTTTTCAGGACTGTTTACTGCATACCGCCTTATCTTTCGGAAAGTATTCCAACCAGTCCTTCACACATACCAGAAGCTGTGGGAATTCAAGCTAATAATCCTAGTCTTTGATAACTTGGTTGTGGCTAGCAGAAGAATCCAGGAGGTGCATTTTGTCTTATTTGGGAATCGTCAGCTGGATGTGTTTGCACCAGTGTGATGTCTTTCCCACTGAGACTCCAACGTCGTACCCGTCGCTCCAAACGCCAGTTATCCGCAAAGCCACCAAGAAACGATGGCCAGTTCCTCGTACGACCGGTAGTAGTTACTACAATCTATTGACATACTTACAATTCTCCGTTGCTTTACTGGATCGAATTGCTCGACCTCTATTGACATATGGGCTACTACGCTGATGTCTCGATATTGCCCGAATCTGAATTTTGATAATTTGGTTGTGGCTAGCAGAAACAACTGACAGTAACAAGTATGTCAATAGAACGCACGCTTTGTATCCAGAAGAAATTTGCACATCTTTTATCCCTCCCTTGGGAATACTTAATTAATAACTTCATCACTGAGTCCATTCTTCCTACCCCTTTCTTATTCTTCATGCCTTTCGTATACTTACTATATTTGTGTTGCGTAACTTATTTTCCCAAGCTTTTGGCCCACTTTTATTACCGGAGTGTGTACATTTCCATGCTCCTTTCTTGGTTCTTATCATCATTATCATTTATATTGCATGTGCTTTAGTGAGTATTATTACTTTTATGATTTGTATCACTATTTCAAACCATTTATCACATTAACTGACAAATCTACACGATTAGTTTGATTTTTACATATATTAAGCTATCTAAATTAGAGTAAAACCTTAAGAGGATTTAATGGGAAACGAAATTCTTCGCTTGTTCTAATTTACATCATGCGGATTTCTAAAACACTTTGGCATATACCAATAGTTAAGGATACAACAAGCTTATGTAACTTTCTAAACGTAGCCAGTTCGGATTTTACCGCTTTAAACAATTTTTTGTTCATATATCTCTGAAAAAGGAACGGCTAGATTGTCCTGTTGGCCATTAGTGTAATATTTATCGTAGAAAACTGTTGGTGGATACTGCATTTTATACAGAAGCATGGTAAGACACGTGTTAAGAAAATTCTCAGTTGTGTTCAAAAATTTTCTATTTCGCATACTTCAACAAGTGCATACTTTAACAGGATGTATTTCTGACTGAATCAACATATCTAACATGCATAATTCAGACTCCTGTTGTCGACGACATACCACAGGCCACTTTAAATTCTAATAATCGAGAGTTTACTTATTCGAATAAGTTTCTGTAGACAATAACGTTCATTACCAAAAAAAAATACTCGAAAATCGAAATAACTATTTATTTCATGGTGTAACTGGATATTTGAGAAATCAGTGTGTAGGTAAACTGGTAACTTATTTTTCTAGCCACTCAACTATTTTCACGATCCAGTTGTGTGATTTGCAGAATCATTTAATCAGATATTAACCATGGCTGACTGGGTTTGACTCCCTGTTATCATCCTATCCCATAATGCTTTGCGCTAATTTTATACCATGGAACACGTCTGTAGGCAGGCAGCTTGATAAATAAGCCATTGCTACGGTGGAGAATATTTGTAGCTCAGGTGTATGGTTTTAGTTATATTGTGTTCCCTGAGTTGTTTAGTCGTGAAGCCATCATGGTCACTCCAAACGACATCATAAGTACTAACTTCAGCATGAAGTGAGCTGTCAATATCTCTCCGTGAGTGATATAGTAGTTTACCCCGATGAAGTGATTTGTTGTTTCTTTTGATTATTGTGTCATTGACTGTATAGATTTTCCCGTTGGTTGTTCCTCTGCTTGATCTCTGATCTTTCTGTCGTTCACCCTTTTTCGTATTGATTGACAGAATGGGTCTACGTCTGTAGATCTATTGGTTGCTGACTGACCTGAGTGCCAAGCTTCCAGGAATTCTCTGATATTCTGTGTGTCTCCTGTGTCTAAACGCACCATCCTACCGTACATAGAGGATATACTAGAATTTGTGACAAATTACTGAGATCACTCGGAATTGGTGTGGCTCATAAACCAACAAATTCCCTCCAAACACTATTATGCAGACTAATGAAGACAAACCGAATATCATTTACAAAATCAACCGTAGTCAACAGTACATTGGACAAAGTGGCCGCCCTCTTCGCCTTCGTCTACATGAACACCAATTAGTTATTAAACGTCAGAACATTTCATCACTCATTTCAATGCACCTGGATGATTATGGACATGAATTCAATCTCGACAATGTAGAGATTTTGGACGGAGAGAGGAAATACAAAGAATATCAGAGAATTCCTACAAGCTTGGCATTCAGATCAGTCAGCAATCAACGGATGTATAGACACAGACCTAGTCTTTCAACTAATAGAAAAAAAAGATAAATAACTGCAAGATCAGAGGTTAGACAGAGAAACAGTCAACCGGGAAAGTCTATGCAATCAACGACACAACAATCAAACGAAACAACCAATCACAAATCGCTTCATCAGGGCAAGCTACCAAATCACTCACGGAGAGATATTGACAGCTCACTTCATACTGAAGTTAGTGCTGATGATGTCGTCCAGAAAGACGATGAAAATTCCACGATGAAGCAACCCAGATCAGAGAACACAACATAACCAAGTTATTGCTAGTCCCATGCCATTTATTACATTCTTTCTTTCTTATATGGCAGCTATTATTTTCAACGAGTTTAAGAATATCAAACAGAGGTTACAGATATTCTGCGAAAATGTCTAGAGTGAGTTTGAAAGTCACCCGAGCAATGACTGAAATAGCCAATTAGGTTTCCTTATGCTGAAAAATGCAAGAACAAAGACATTTGCAGAAAATGGTCTCATTTCATAGCTTTTCACCAGGTGTAAACAGCCTAGAATCAAAATGAAGCGTAAGTAGCAGTAATGATGGCACAATATACTTTAAATATGCAGAAATAAATGGAGATTTGAAATCCAAGATTAACAATAAGCTAGTGAGTCAAAGAAACACAGGATTAATTATTACAAGTTTTAGTCAAAATCAATGGCAATTTATATTTGATGGGATAGAAAATTCTGGAGCTGTGGAGGGACAATAAACAACTGCGTAAAAGCAGAGACTGTCTGCAGCTGATGAAAGGTCGTGAAATAAAATAAGTTCATTTTATGCTGTAAATATCTTTTTCTTTGCACTGTTCAAATTTGTCAAGGGAACTAAATGTATAACATTTCTTCACATCGGTTAAAAAAGCAGACTTGCGTAAAATCCCGTCCATCCGATATAAACACCTCTAAACAATGGAGTTAAAGATGTTCTTGACAAGCTATTAACAATCACTAGAAACTTTATGCAAGATCGAAGAATGTACACTTAAGCGTTTAGTAATTTTCGCCTAATAGACCATCATAACGATGCAACACTCATCTCTTGTTAAATGAGAATTGAAGAATGTCGAGAGTCAGAGTTTGTTAGCATAACAGATAATTTATGGGTAATATTTTTATCAACTGCTTATTAAAAAACTATTTTGAAGGTATGAGTATTATTATTGTACTGAATAATATTCATACACATTAACTGAATTAGGTAATAATTGATAATAATAATAATAATAATAATAATAATAATAATAATAATAATAATAGCTTTTTTTGCTACAAACCAACACGGGATTCGAAACAGGCCGTAAGCTAAATGAGACTGTTATCGAAAAAAGAGAAGATGAAAAACGGTAGCAAACTGGTACTGATGACACACAATTATCTTTAAAACTTGGCATTCAATTGTACAGATTATATATATATATATATATATATATATAACAGAAAGAACCAACATTGCTAACTTCGGTGTAGGAACAATGGTTCTGCAGAAATAGTAACATATGCAACAAGATGACTGTGATCAGACAAAAGATCTAAAGAGAGTTAACTATAAAATATATTCCAGTTTTACCATATAATTTCGGGTCCTCTCTATATTTTAGTTGATGCAGAAATATCATTTTTTCTGCTGTGAAGATGGTACCTGAGTGGCATTATCTGTTGATAAATGTGAACGGCTTTTATCTACTTTGACCTCATCGGAAAGGATTGCATTGGCCATTTGTTCATTATCAATCATTTCAAGAACACGGGTAATTTCTTTGCTGGAAAGCTTAACATTCTCTTTACCCAAAAGTTCAATGACCTATAAAGTAAATTGGAAAAAGAAAAGTTTGAAGTAAAAAGTCAACACATGAAGTATAGTGGAATATACGACTAACTAATACAAATATTACGTAATATATACTAAATATTAATTATAACGATAAGCATATGGTATATGTAAAGGAAAAAGTAGAAAGAATATATCAAATCAGACAACTCTCTTTCGAAGGCAGAAATTGTACCGGTCAAGTCATGGGACAAACAGTAATCTTACTACTGTATATCAGTACTTATTTATTTCAACCAGAATACATAACACTACATAATTAACAACATTATTATTTGCAGTTCATGTATAGTGCTCAAGAATACTGCTGAAAAGAAAGCTATAGCGTGTACCGCACTTGACAATCTATCACCAATATCAATATAGGACCAAGCATTCCCAAGTAACAGTTCAAGTTACCAGCACGACATGTAACAAAGCAATAAGATGAAAGAAAGAAAAATTGGTCAAAAGCAGTGGAAAGGAAGAACAAGAAAATGCTGATTTCAGTATAGCGGTTAAGATAAAGATAACGTATGGATACACCTGAGCCATACCACCTAGAGTCTCTAACCACTGGTAACTGTTGTCACGTCAACCACGACTGGCTAGTATGCATCTCCCTACTTGGCTCAGACAAACAGTTAAGAACATCATGCATTAATGACATATGCTAGTTATTCTGGCAACATCAAGCTTTTTTCCAGCCTAAACCTACTTCAGCAAACATTGTGCGATGAGGTATATGCAACACATGTCCCCGCCACCTCAGTCGATGAAGGTTCCCAATCTCATCAACTGACTTTCCTCTCATCCCTCAAACTCTACACTTCACTTCTATGTTAAAGACATAGTGACACGATGACACATGGTCTATGTTACGAAGGTAACGGTAGTCAAACACGTGAAGCCTTTCCATTTCCTCTATCTTTGATGACCATGTCTACAGTAATACAGAAGGAACTACAGTGCAGTATACTCGACCCTTAATCGAATCGACTGCAGGCGATACACAATCTTCATTAGGTGGGGGATCCTTAAAAACGTCCGCATCCTGAAATAATTAACTCCATTGGTTCAGTTGTCCTTGATACCGAAATCATTGGCTAACATTTTTTTCAGGGTGTTTTATATAGACTGAACCTGAAATATTTTCTAAATTTATTGACGTTTATTCTTTCATCAGTTTATACTAATTCTCAACTTCTTGGGAAATCCTGTATTTCTGAATTTAAGGTTATTTAAGTTCCAGCCTGTAAATAAGATAGATATTTTAAAACATATAGAAAACAATATTCAACAAAAGACTCTGGTGTGTAATGCAATGATTTCTGACTCTCATGAATAATGATGTTTATATATTACCATTGTAAAGTTTAAGCCTTATTTTCGCACCGTTTTTTGCGCCATGCTACGTTGCTTATTTTTTATCACAGTTTAGGATACTAAACGCTGACTGGTCCATTTTTCACTTTGAATATGCTATTTTGTTTTCTCTACGCAAAGCCATCTAAGGATATATAAACGACTGAGTTTTCGCCTATTATGATTCAGTTAGAGTAAATAAACTTTCGATCCTATCGTCTTCTTCTGGTGTCAGCGGAATATCGAGTTGAGAGGTCATCGTTCTATCACTAATCGTATCGTTATCTATAGCGTTGGATGTTAACACTCACACTGACCTTTGAATATACAAACTTTCTCTAGGAAATGCAACATTTGTTTCAAAAAAGATATTATGATTATACTAAAAAGAATAAAGTTATATTTATGAATAATTAAACAGTTATGATTAGTACTAATGAACAAAAAATACCTACAGAGAGTACATGTTTCAATTCAATTTTTCCATCTTGATCTTCATCTAAAACTTTTAAAATTTTCTCCCAACGTGTATTATCTTGAACATTTTGAATACGTTTTAATGATTGTAATAAATCATTGATATCTACTACTCGTTCATGAACTGCTTTGATTTCATCTATAATTTTAGATTGTTCCTTTTCTTCAGTTGGTTCTTTTATATGACTTTCACGAACCTAAAAAAAATAAACGATCAATATTGGTAGGTGTATATCAATTTCAACGGAGAAGTGAATTTATTAAAATCCAGTTAGTAATTAACAACTCATTAATTTTTTTCTCTTTTGTATTTTCTTTTCTTGATGAATAATAACTTTGTATTCTAAGTGATTATTGATGGGCAACGGCATCAAAGGAAAGACATATCCAGTCTACGAGTAACAAAAAATAAAGAACGCTATCATGGCGTCACTACGATATCCAATTATCGATTAAGGGTCGAGTATACTGCACTGTAGTTCCTTCTGTATTACTGTAGACATGGTCATCAAAGATAGAGGAAATGGAAAGGCTTCACGTGTTTGACTACCGTTACCTTCGTAACATAGACCATGTGTCATCGTGTCACTATGTCTTTAACATAGAAGTGAAGTGTAGAGTTTGAGGGATGAGAGGAAAGTCAGTTGATGAGATTGGGAACCTTCATCGACTGAGGTGGCGGGGACATGTGTTACGTATGCCCAGTAACCACTTGCCTCGTTCTACAATGTTAGTTGAATTTTATTTATGCTGCGAAAATGTTCTGAGTGGCCAGACTAACACATGGCATTAGTGCATGATGTCCCTAACCGTTTGTCTGAGCCAAGTAGGGAGATGCAGACTGGCCAGTTGTGGTCCATGTAACACAACAGGAACCAGTGGTTGGAGACTCTAGGCTATTTGGCCAAGAATCGATGTCAGTGGTGCAGATGTACACACTTTATCTTCATGTTAACCGCTATACTGAAATCAGCATTTTCTTGTTCCTTCTTTCCCTCGTCCACTACTTTCGACCGGTTTTTCTTTGTTCATCTTTCATCTTACTACTGAATTAACTTTAGTTATTGCTTGCATTATACCGTCGTTGATTGGATAGAATTGAACGGTCTCTATTGGCATATGGACTCCTGTACGGATGCCTCGGTATTGCCTGTGCATTAATTCTATATAGTAATGATGGACAGTGGCTAGCAGTGGAATATAAGATGCTCATTTCGTCCTATTTAGGACTCGTCAGCTGGAAGTACCTGCCTCTCAATGAGTTATGTTTTTCCTAACGGGATTCGGAGTCGGGACCGATCGCTTCAAACGTCAGAGCGTCATTCGACAGATCACCGAGCCATGATGGCCACTTACTATATAGAATTAAAACACAGGCAACATCGAGGCATCCGCTCAGGAGCCCATATGCCAACAGAGAACGATCGATTCGGTCCAATCAACGACGGTATAATACAGGCAATAATACTAAAACTATACCCGTCGCACAAGAATTGACTATCCTGGCTTGATGGTCTAGCGGATATCGCTCTGGCGTTCGAAGCGATCGGTCCAGGGATTGAATCCCAGTTAGGACATCACTCACTGGGAGGCAGGTACATCCAGCAGACAAGTCCCAAATAGGATTCAACGAGCATCCTGGATTCCACTGCCAGCTACTATCTATCATTACTACATAATTTATCAAATGTTGTGCTGATATGAAGTTGGACTGCTACTCAGGAATGCTTGATCTTATGCTGATATCAATTGATTTGATTTTGATCGTAATTGACACCACGCAAACAAAAGCCGATACACTAAGAGAATTTAGTGGATACTTTCAAATAAATCACCAAGAAAAGGTAAAAAAAAAAACAACCCAGATCTGGACAGTCAGACGGTATTAGCAGTTCCCCATACAGTGCATGAATATGTGCCTGGTTGCCAAGATAGTTTCAATCGTTTCATACGTATATCTTCAGATAAGAAGCTCACAAAAATGAACGTGATATGGAGTCCACTGATTCAGTACAGATAAATTCGATAATGTTGATTTTCGTTAGACCCCGACAACAGTGTTTAGCCGTTTTAACTCCAATGAACATTTGCGTATGTGCCACGTGGTGATTTAGTTGACCATATATATTCATTTGAAAATAAAAACAAGGCTGAATTCTTCACAAAAATTGTCTACTCATTTATTTTAATCGAAAAACTATTGGTTAAAAAAAAACCAGTTTTGTATGAAAAAGAAAAATCTCAGTTTGACTAACAATCTCTTCATTTTTTTTTACATAAATCAGACATAAAACATTTCATATGCTAGATCATAGTTACATGTAAGGTGAGAAATTTAAACTCAGCCCATGAGTTTAAAGTGAATAATTGAACTGGTCAAGTACACCTTTACAAAACATTTTAGAATCCTAAAAGACGTTAAGTCATTTAGATTCAACGTAATTGAAGTAGAACGTCTTGAGGTAATAAGACATTTAATGTACTCGGTGGTTAGCAGTGGAATCGAGGATGCGTGCTTCATCCCATTTAGAAGTCCCCAGTTGAATGTACCTGCAGCTGAGTGAGTGATCTTGTTCCCATCGAGACTCAAAGCTAGTACCTATAGCTTCAAACGCCTCAGTGCTATCAACTAGGCCGCTAAGGTATGACAGCCACCCCTCTTATACAACAGGTATCAGCTGTTGTTTCTTCATACTTGTGATTTTCCGTTGCTGTACTGGGTTGAATTTTTCGACCCCTGTTACCTAAAAGATGTTCGCTAAAAGATTTAGAATAATGATCATTCAATTTGGAGGTTTGTGAGAAGCTATTGATTTCAGATCAGTATACATTATGGACTGACATCAGTCGAAGAAACATCAGAAACCTAGGAGCATTGGGCAACTATTTCATGCTGGCATGGGACTACTCAGCAGAGTGCGCCCATGAACCCTCCCACCACGGGGGTCAAATCCAAGACTGCTAACTGATAAATCTAAATAAAAATCAAAATTAATTCAGTCCGATATCACAGATTTTAAGAAAAAGTGTTGTCAGAAAACAGGTGCTACTGTACTCTATGTCTCTATGTATTTCAGAAGAAGGAATTTTCAAACCAGTCACAAGCTGATTTGAAATAATCTCCAAAACTTATTTGAAAGTAAGTGGTAGCAAACATCTACACACCTATTCAGGTAGACAGCTAACAAACAGACATAAAGAATGATTTGTTATACTAAAGCAGTGTCAAGGAATTGTCTGAAACCCTAGTAAAAAATATTTTTAAAAGTAAGCGTAGAAGTACGACGTTTCGGTGACTGCTTGACCGCATACCAGGAAATGAAAATTTTAAAATCTTTTCAGAATAAAGTTACTTAACACAAGGTTGCATAATGAAGCTCAAGCTAAACTGTGACTGAGCTAAAAAAGGAATTATGGATGACCACGTTTAGAAATGGCATTTGCCGATGAAATCAATGACTGTTGATCTGAGCCCCGGGGTTGATTAGAATCCCCAAGATGATGGGGATTGACAACTACAAACTCTGGATGATATGGCTAAAAATCGATGAACATAAAGAGGTAAATTCAACTGTCTAAAAAAACCCTCTTGCATATTTTAACATCTATCCATTCCTTTTGGTTACTTTTTCCAGTGATGTCGCGAAGTGTTCTGACTTCTGTCGATGCACTCCAGTGTGTGGATTAGATTAAAAGAGGGTTCAGAGTGGCCAGACAAAGATGTAGAACCAGTCCATCAAGTCCCTGACTGTTGGTTCCAGCCATGTTGGGAGATGTAGACTACTTGTTTGGGGTCCTCGAGACAATGGGAATCAGTGATTGAGGGTTGTTGGTGACATTGTTGAAAATCGGTTATAATGCCACAGATACATTTACTCCTTGACGCCTTCTAAAGCCTGAACATTTGCACTGACCGTTATCTTCAGACTGTTTATTCTCTCACACAACTTTGTTTACTGTGATATCAGTTTTTTCCCGATCCACTTGTCTTTTGTATACAACTGTTAAGTGTGACAAGTTGAACTGAAGTACTTGTGTACAAGGTTCTATGTTGACCTTGTCCATCTGACTTCAATGAAAAGTCTCACTTTGATACATCCTTATCGCTGAATTGAATCTATATGGTGCATAATCCATTTGTACAGTGAAACGGATCAGTGTATGTGGGAACCACTCTTCAATGTTTTGATATTTATCATAGAATTCACTGGTCAGCAAAGAGACTGGTAAACAAAAACAAATTCATTGGTTTGTACACTGAAAGAGACATCATCTGATTTTTCTTATTGAAATTCGTCTTTAAACCAAATATGAGAGTGAAACTATTTTTAGTGCCGGGCACCTAAAACAAAACTTCGACCATAGATACACATCAACTGGATTGTTACTAATTTTTCTCTAAAATTTATAAACAAAGCCACCAACTGGAACTATAATGAAGCCTTTGTTGTTCGCAGTAATATATACTACCATGAGAGACGGCTCATTGGTTTAGATACCAGATTTCCAATCAATGGGACACGGGTTCAAATCCCAATCAACCTATCGAGGTCTAGACAGTCAAGAGTATCTTATGAAGAGTAATGAACCCCTAGTAATCAGAGTTTTGATTATAATTATTATTATTATTAGCACTAATCTTTCATTCAATGATGACATTATTGAATGAGACCAATAAATTTGTCCAGGTCACATTTATATACAAGCTTGTTGCTAGCCTCAATAACAAGTAGATTATGGGATAATTACCCATCTCCAGGTGATATTCATCACAACAGAATAAACTTAACTACCGTAAGTGGAGAGAAAATAACGAAAATTCTTAAAACAGTAACAGTAACAAAACATCAATCAGTGCCCGCATATCAAACATACATAGACATATAGACAGACAAGCTCAGTTGGCTTTTGCCAAATTACGTGACCTGTGCTGCCGCCGTGATATCCGTTTGTCTATTAAGAGTCGTGTGTACTGCACAGCCTTCCGCTCTGTTCTACTCTATGGCTGTGAAACATGGCCGCCATTGAAGGTGGAAGACATGAGAAGGCTGGCTTCAGGTGTTTGACCACCGATGCCTTCGCAGTATAGGCCGTATTCTGTGGTGTCACGATGTGAATAAAGCAGAAGTCAGGAGTAGAGTTTTAGGGAGGAGAGGTAAGTCAGTTGACACAGTCGTGAACCTTCATCGACTGACATTGCTGATTGGGACACATTTTACGTATGCCTAGTCACCGATTGCCTCGTCACACAATGTTGGCCGAAGTAGGTGGTTCAGGCTGGAAAAAGGCTCGAGGTGGCCAGACTGAAACATGGCACCAGTGTACGAAGTCTTTGACTGTTGGTTTGAGCCATGTGGGGCGATGTAGACTAGTCGATTGAGGTCCGCAGGACAAGAGAAACCAGTGGTTGGAGACTGACTCTAGGTGATATGGCTGGCTCAGAACGGATGTCAGTGACGCGAAAGTACATACACATTATCCTCATCTTAACGCTATACCGAATCTCACCATTTTCTCGTCCTTCCTTTCTCTCTCTTCGTACTTTATATTTCTTTTCACTGAATTTTCTTTTCTCCATCTTCCACTTCACTGCCTTTTTACTTGATGTAGTGATGTGAGGTGTGGCAACTCGGACCGTTACGCAGTAATGCTTGGTCCTATGTTGATACTGATGATGATGATGATGATGACAGAGAGTAAAAGTTATCAATAAACTAAGTACAGCATATACAAAAAAGGCATAAGCTTACTTCAATATCTTCTAACAGTTTTTCACGTTTATCAACTAGGTTTTCTATCATTGTATCCATTTCTTTGATTAAACGTTCTACACGAGATTCTAAATGTACTGCAGCTTTTGATTTTCGTTTGTCTGGAACTTGTTCAGAAGTCATAAATTCAGCATGATGTTGTTGTTGTAATTTTGCTGTTTCTGCAACTTCCTCCTGTTAGAACATACGAGAGAGAGAAAACAATAGAAGAAAAGCATGAATTCAACGAAAAAACGCATTCCGACTGACTAACAAACATTTAAAATTAAAAAGTGGTTTACACGCATACACCTAGGAAATAAGTCAGATTTTATGGTTTATGCTCTTAAATTGTACATAATAAGAAAACTTTGTACAGTACAGTCAAGAAGTGATCAAGTACTTTTGGAAAAACTAGACCAGCAATGTGTAGATCGAGTGTATACTTGGAACATGTAGATTATTTAACAAACCCTATCTTTTCAAAGGATTTTTCAGCCATTTAGCTCTGAAGTCATCTCACCTTAGTACCAGTCAATTAGATCAAGTACCTTGCTGGTAATACTAAATAAAACAGTCATGAACCAATAAAATATGTGAGAATGAAACAGAAGTAATCTTTCAATGATGATAACGAAACACAATCCTTGCTTATTTGGTCTAACTACAGCTTGATAACAAGAAACACGAGTCAACTAGAAAAGTTACAAGTATGGATGAGAGTGAACTGATCAGAGCTTCATTCTTCAACAGGTTTCGAAAAATATGCATACTTACTAGTACCATAACATCGAACGTTATTCTTAATCTGAAGATGAAGTTGGACTTCATGGACAGGAAGATTTTGTAGTAGTCTCTAACTGCTAAAGGATCACAGAAGTATCACAAATTACAACCACATTCAATGTGCTGTCTCATTTTCCACATTACCTTGTATGATTAAACGCAAGTAAATTTTTCTGTGCTTGCTAAGTTATCAGCTCACGTTTTTCTTTTTAAGATCCCCCTACTGACTGGATGAACCTGACGCACACTTTTACTTGCTCCTTTGTTACAGCGTACCTGTAGGCTAGATGAAAGCCCGCCAACAGCTTTTCGTTAAAGAGGATGTATATTACATGAATGAAAGCTCTCTATGCAGAGCTATCACCTGACACTACGACAATCACTGGCATCCACCAGGGAAGTTCAATGTAGTTATTTTTACTTAACCAACTGGTAGTTGTCACCCAATGTACCTCCGACTTTCTAAGGACTGAATTACAGATCAAAAAGCGTTCAGTTGATATATTCCAGTTAGGTGAAGATAACGAAATACAAAGTTCTAAATACCTGAAGCAAAAACCTTAGTTTGTCTTGTACCTTATTTTGCATCCATCAAATGTAAGATATTGCATTAGGACTGGTATGCACCAACTTTTGGTTCAAGGATGGAGAAGGCAGTGATGGATGGGATGCGTTGAAAAGTCGCATCACTCATCATAGACTACTTAGTGAATAAATATTAGCTCGGATACAGTTAACGCCTCCCCTGGCGCTAGTGAAATACTAGACCATCAATCAAAGGACTGTACAACCTAGATATGGACGTTGAAGGTGGAAGATATGAGAAAACTACACCCATTTCCTCCATAGCTCTTGTTAGTAATGATGTAGTTTTGTGAAAGGTTAAGCTTTGGCTTTTTTATCTGTAGGTATGGTGAAGGTTCAGTTTATTCACTAAATAGTCGGCTGAAAATATGTAACAGGCTGTGTCGTCGAACATCTCAACAACGGTACAAGAACACAATGGATTAATAAGGCGGAAAATTAAAACAAACTGAATATTATTCAAAAGCAGCTGAATTCCATAGAAGCATATATGCAAATGCTCTTGTGATTGCAGTTTTAAAGCACATAATGTAAACATTTCAACCAACGCGTTATAAATCATTTCCAAAACTGTAAACAAGAAGCCTATAAACCTTAATAAAGCTGAATTCGCAAACAAGGAACTTCAATGGTTTTGGCTCTCGTTGAGTATTTTTCTTCATGTTTGACTTTGTCTGCCCTACCAACCATGACTTCTCATTAAAACTTCAGGAAACTTCATCTCCAGTAAATTCATTCATGAGCACTGAACAGTAATTTAATTCCCAGTTTCATGAGGATTTATTGATATCAAGGTTGTATTCATCACAGGCTGATATCAGTTAGAGAACTATAAGAGAACTGGAAGCACTGTTTCGTCCTAGTACGAGACTCTTTAGCAGTGCACACTAATGATCACAACAGGCTTCGCGGCGACCACATTACCATAGTTTGAATCCGATTGTCCATATTTTCGTAATTCAGTCAATTGGCGATCTAACGTGACCCCTATCTAATACCATCGCTGAATATTTGTTCTGGTTATGTTTTTGACTAATGACTATTATCTTTTCAACTGGCTTTTTTGTCTCATACAGCATGATCTCAGAAAGGAAACAGAGATCATGTATAATCGAAACACTTTTGAATCTTCGTTATCCAATTCAATGAGCATGTACATTATGCAGAAACTCCACTACTACTATGTATCTGAACTGCCACCTTATGAATTCGTATACAATGATGAATCACATATTAGATAAGACGATGACAGTATTACGCTTATGCGACAAAATATTCAAACATAAGAGAAATGCTAAGACTAACTTTAAAGGTCACCCTAGTAACTGATATGATAGTCGATCACGTTCTTCTATTCTATGGAAAAGTATTTTTCCAGGTAGAATACCAAAGCGTGACTGGTCATTTCAGTTGTTGTTAAGGTGACCGTTAAAGTAACCCAGTGCTAACCTTACACGAACATCCCAAAATTAGATTAAGCTAATTGAAGTCAGATGGCTTGAAAGGCTGCCCCAGCAACTGTTGGAACAGCCAATCAGGTTTCGGTATTTTGGCTAGGACGTTAGATTCTCAAAAAATAGATCTGAAGTGCCTTTAAGACCACCTTAACGACTGCCGAAATGCTCAATCAAGCTTAGTTACTTTCCCTGGAAAAGTACTTTACCACAAAATAAAGAAATGTAATTGGCTGTCTCATCAGTTGCTAGGGTGGCCTTTAAAGTCATCCACGTTATAAAACACAAATACAGACACAGATACACAATTGGCATTTTCAGTAATTAAGGTATTACTGTAAAATGATCATTTTTAAAGCTGAAAAATTCACATGACCTATTGATCGAGGCGTATATTTAGAATGTACTTTATTTCAAGTTGATTTGGTATTTGCATACAGTATAAACACCTAATAAAAAGTCAGGCAAAGGAGAGTAAAAACGGTTTGAAAATGAAAAGTGAAACTGTAACTACTATTTGTTGACATACTTGCAATTCTTCGTTGCTATACTATATAAAATTGACCAACTTCTGTTGGTATATGGACTTCTATGCGAGTTCCTTGATATTGCCTGAACCTTTATCACCATTACTTACTTGGTTGTGGCTAGCAGAGGAATTTAGGACGCATGTTTCGTCCCATTTGGGACTCGTCAGCTGGATGTAACTGCAACCCAGTGAGTGTTGTTCCCACTGGAACTCGGACCTCGTACCCATCGCTTCAAATGCCGCAGCCCAGTTAATTATAATTATAAATATTCAGGCAACAACACGGCATCCACATAGGAGTCCATACACCAACAGAGGTGGATTAATTAGATCCGATGTAACAACAGAGAATTACAAGCATATCAACAAATAGTAATGAATAGTTCATATCGTACAAGAGGTGGCTATCGTGCCTCAGTGGCCTAGCAGATAACTCTTTGGCGTTTGAAGCAATGGGCTCTAGTCCAGGTCTTAATGAGAACAACAGCAGACATATCCAGCTGATGAGTTCTAAGTAGGACCAAACGCGCGTCCTGAATTTCTCTGCTAGCCACGACTAAGCAAATTACGGAACTATAATATTTATACTAAGTGTTGATTGAAGGTGAGATGAAAATCTGGACTGCGGCCGGGTTCGAACCACCGACCACCGGGTTACTGGCCTGGTGCTCTACCAACTGAGCTACGAGGTCCGACTGCTGACCACATTTTTATTTCACTTCAATCACCAAGAATTTTGCCCGACTACCATGTGAATCCGCGATCTGTTACTACCACTTGATTGTATTCATACTGGCATAGTAAAATTTGACTTCATCACATAAGAACGTACTTTTGCACCTTCCGTAACTGAAATGAGATACTTTAAGAAAGCCTAACTTCTAGGCAGACCTAACAATATTATTTGCATAGTGGAATCCAAGACGTGTGTTTCTTCCCTAGCTAGGGACTCATCAGGTAGATGCACCTGCATCACAAAAAATGATGTTCCCACTGAGATTCAACAGAGATGGATCAATTCGGTTCATTACAGTAATCAACAGGCAGTTACAACCAGCGGTAAGGATTTTAAAAATATGTCGTCCATACTGAAAAATTGATCAATTCAAGTACATAAAACATGAATGCTAACTCAGAAGTGTAGCATAATAAAATGTAGCGGACTGAATCCAGCGTGCATTTTAATGACGTTGCGGTGTATGAGTAATAATAATAATAATAATAATAATAATAATAATAATAATAATAATAATAATGTAATTTAATCTGATACGTGTACTAAGCTATGAGCTCCACTTGTTGTATGAGGTGTTTATGATACCATTCAGTTGCTCAGGTCAAAGTAAGCACAGTAATTCGGATACACAGCAACTACTACGCAGTTAGATTATACATTTACCTAAAGTGAACTATATGCTTTCTCAAAAAATGCACTGCGGGAATCAACCACCTGCTCTTACTTATTTCATTGCCCAGTTATATTGAAAAAATACATTACACTATCTACTCATAATATGAATATTATTTTCTATCGAAGTAACTGTAACTTGCTGTGAAGCATAAAGTGCGCTATGGTTACAATAGTTTCTAGTTTCTAGCGAAACGAAATGGACTCAGTCATCTTTTTCATATCTATGCAGTAAGCAATGAACCACACCTGTTGTATGGGGGCTAATGATACTACTACTTGCCTCGGTAGGTGGGGCAGGGTTCGAACCCGAGACCCACGGATCGATGATCTTAGTACGCTAAAAATTTCAAAAGCTTACGTAACGACCTTTAAACTTCATGCTTACAAAACGCTATCACAATTATAACAATTCAAAGAATGACAGGAACTATTTTGGCTAGTTCGAACTACTAATAGAAGCCTAGAATACTAAGTGGAGTACGTGGTTCAACTGACCTATAACGATAGTGTCTTGTGTCTAATGGTCAGAAAATACCGATTTATGTTGAGATCAAGAAGATAAGCACCGCCAAAAGCTACTTGACTTAGACGATTGAAACTCAGATACTTCAAAATTTCAGGCAACAGGATTACGACGTGGACTAGATTTTTTCTCGAAAAAGCGAACTTTCAATTCTACTATCGCCAATTAATGCAACTTATCGCACAACGTAAAGTATATCATAATCATTGGGATACAAGTCGTCCTCACTGGCTGCCATACCAAATAGACTGTAACGGAGAAACTAACTCCCGAGAAGACTGAGTTTTGAATAAATCGTATGTGTAGTGACCACATTCTGACTCTTCCTTAGTTCCTTTAGCACTATCGTAAGTACTGTGACCTGGTATCAGGCCAATTTCTAATCACTGCAGAGGTTTGCTAGAAACCTGAGTGTTTTGCATACAAATTTCTCAAACAGGGAGAAGAGGACAATAATTTCTTGTTTCAATATATACTCTTATTACATCAGAGTTATTTTTAGCCTAATTTCCTTAACCTTCTAGGTGTTAAGTTGGATGTAACACCATCTGAAAAGATTCTTCATTGTTACAGTGGACTAGATAATAACTATTAGTTTGCGTACGCTTATTAGAGCAGTTGTGCATACATAGCAGTCTAGCGAACAGTTACTAGTAAGAGGTTTTTCACACTCGAAATAAATGAGTGATGATGTCAGACATTTGAGGCTAGTCAATAAGGAGTCTTGGACTTGAAGTCCTTGGTAATTACTGATAGCTATCAACAGTCATCCATCTACAAAAGCTTATTTTTCAGATGCAAAGTGGTGTCTCTTAGTATTACTGAAATCAATGTCAAGATGTGTATGAGGCAACTGGCACCATAGCGAAGAAAAAATACTTGCTTGAATCGAGTCCCGTCGTTGAAATGATAGGATGTGGCTAATAAAATTAAATAATTTGGCATCATAAACCACTGTGTTTAAAGATGCAGTAATAAATAAATATGAGGAAACTAAACAAAATAAACTCATCCGTTAGCATATGAACTATTTATTACATAGGCGTTATGGAGAGAAAAAAACAACCAGTGGAAATGAGTTAATGAAATCTATCAACTATCAAAAATAATACATTTCACTAACAATTGTTTAGCACTGAATAAACTCCTAGCAAAAGTAACAACATGACTCACTTTTAAGCCATGTATTGTTTCATCCTGCAATTCATGTGTAGAGTTAGCAATAGCTGAATGAATTTCAGCTAGATCTCCAGCTGTTATCTCAGTCACCTCTTCAACCGCTGGTTTTTTCGGTTTTTCAGCTACATCACTTGAACAGCTTGTGTGTACACCATCTTTTGATTGTGCAGCAGTTAATATTTGCACTGTACCAACAGTTACTGCCTCTGGAATAGGTTTGCTAATCTATAACATAAATCAAATTCAGAATAGAAGAATGATAATAGGTTACGCAAAGAGAATATTAGATGTGTGTATGCATCACAGTGTACGCAGTGTGCCGAGTAACATTAGGATACAGTTCTTGAGAAGAGAAACCGAACACATAACATAACGCTTATCAGATTTCAGTCAATTTTTGGTTGTTGATAACATTAGGAAGAAATATATAAATTGAATACACATACTTCATCAGTTCTGGTAGATTATCCAAAGAATAAAACACTTTTTAAGATATTGCTGAAACGATTTGTTAGAAGTTATATCATGTTGACGGCCATGGTAATGAAAGTGGTCGAACAAACTTCTTTTGAATACAAAGGTTAAATCTGTAAAGATGGACTGCAATCGCCTCTGCTATGTGAAGAAAGTGAGTGCGTAATCCATGTGATAAATTAATTGGAATATGATGAATGATTTTGAAAGTTTTTCTAGCATCAACTTGATGTCCCGTGTCAACTAGGTATGCAAGTATGGAGCTCTTTATTGTTCTTATTCGTCTCTGGCTCAACCATGATGGGTGGTGGTCAGAAATTCGATGATGGAGCTGCCTCACTGTACGCCCAATGTAACTAGCTCCGAGGAGCAGTTGAACTGATAAATGGACATAGAAGTGACAGAATCAGACATTTTGTCTTTATTTCTTGCACCTAGAATCGCCCAGTTGTAGAAGATGGGACATACTTTAGCGGCTGGGAATGCTTTTTGAAAAGCTCTATTTTTATGGGTTGTGTGATGGTCTCACTGGCAATGTCAATCTTAAATTTCAGCTTCAAGAATATTCGCTTGTTAGGAACTGTTAGGGTTCTTGACTTAATCTTCGTAACTTTTATATGCTTAGTTATGGGCTTCGCTGGATAGCCATTCCTACCAAAAACATTTCATTACATATATTTTATCAAATTCCTTCCTTTTACTTTGTTTTACTATTTTAAATACGTCACTTAAACGTGTCACGTACTCTCGCATACTTTTTAAATAGTTTCAAGCGGATATTTTTCTAGCTAACAACAGGAATAAATGACAAACCGGTAAGAGATGGTCTTATAAATGCACAGAAATACAGTATATTACTATTTCTTGGATAATTATGTTGAATGACAGATATTGGTTCTGACTGAATAAACTACCACCATCAAACCCGACGCTAATGCAATACCAGGTGTCTGTTTCACATTGTGCCTTTTATAAACTGTTATTATTAACATCACTCAAATGTAATGATTACTCCACTTAAAAATATTGTCCAGGGAATGAATTTGTTGAACTATTATATGCTGAGAATTCCATACCGTACCACAAGTCTTGTTTGAAATAAAGCCATCATAATTATTACTAACTGCTAGTGGTTTCCCACTCATCAAGACGTGTAGAGAGCAGAAAAACGGTATAAAATGGCATAAAAATGGCTTTTTTTCAGAATGATGATCAAGGGCTAAAAACTGTTTGGCTGTTAAAGAAGCTCTACCCCCATTCGCATTAGGATGCCCTTAGTAATATAGTAACTAAGTATGCAATAGAGAATGTTATCATGTTTATTATTATGAAAAAAGTTACAGAATTCCTACGCTCCAAAACTAAATATTTGTTCCATATCTGAATACTATTTGAAATTTCACTCTGTCAGTAGATAACTTTGTTTACCAGTGCCTATAAGAGTAGCTTGGAACAAAGGAAAATCATGACTTAGTTACCAAATAACGGTAAGCTGCTTTCGTTTACCATTTACTTCACGTTGTCCAGTATCCAGCTGATGAACAATTAGTAACCTACACAGGTTTCTTATTACTTTATTATTTATTGATGGCAAAGTAAAGCAGGATAAAATAGAATACCTCTGATTATTTCAAGTGAAATCCTCAGTATTTAATAGACAAAAATAGATGACCTCAACTACAGTACATCATCAATACTATCCAGCAAATCACACTACAAGTACAACAAAATTATACGTGACTCCTAAAGTACTTCCACGAATGACCTTGAACCTGTTATTTGCCAACCAACAACCTTCTTACTATTAATGTCCTAACAAAGGCAGTCAACTCAATTCAACCTCGACTTCATCGATTTTGAAAAGGCCTTCGACAGCGTCGACCGAGAAGTGATTTGGCAAAAAGCTGCTTCAACACTACGTAGTACCACAAACCTTTATCAACCTCATTCAACAGCAGCTATATCCTATTTGATGCTTATATATATCGAGTGATTCACAATGGGAAGCTCAGTGTTCCCTTCGAAGCGAAGACAGGAAGGAGTGAGACAAGGTTGCCACCTACTATCACAAATGGTCTTCCTGATTGTAGTCGACTGGACTGGACTGGACTGGATCACGCAACAAACTGTGAGGAGCTGTGAGAGGAGGGGTACTCGCTGTTTGACCGATGAAAAGAACCCAGACGAAGATTTGGATTTCGCCGCTGATGATGGTTTATGTCTAATGTCTTGTCGCACAAACTCGAAGATTTACAGGCATAAACTAACAAGTTGGCAGAAGAGGCGAGATAGCCAAGGAAGACAGGACTCCCTTCAGGTGAACGTAGAGAAGACGAAGGTGATGAAGATACCCAACCACCACCACCACCAACAACAACAACAAGAACCAGTTACCATCAACGGGAGAAATGTGAAGAAAGTTGTCTCTTTCATCCACATACCTACCTACCTACCTACCTACCTACCTACCTACCTACCTACCTACCTACCTACCTACCTACCTACCTACCTACCTACCTACCTACCTACCTACCTACCTACCTACCTACCTACCTACCTACCTACCTACCTACCTACCTACCTACCTACCTACCTACCTACCTACCTACCTACCTACCTAGGCAGCATCGATTCAACTACAGGCAGCGGCACAGATGAGGGTATCAAAGCAGCCAGGATCAGAAAGACAGCAAAACAGGCCTTCATTAACCTGAAATCAGTGTGGAGATCTCTTTCACTGCATTCAACATAAAGAAGAAGATCCGCATTTCTAACACGAATGTCATTCAAGTAAGTCAGTGCTTCTAAGTGATGGTTGAGAGACTTGGTGCGTTACGAGAAGCAAACTACAGAAGTACACGAACAGCTACCGCCTACACTCACTCGATACTGAAGATCAGATGGATGGCCAGAAAGAATAAGCAACAAGGAACTCACTCCGGGTGGCAACGAAACAACCGACCAAGAACCTATCGTCCAACAAATATGTAGAAGAAAGTGGAGACGGATTGGACTGGATTGGATTGGGTTGGACATACACTGAGAAGACTGTTTTGGGACATCACACGTCAGGCTAGGCCAGGTCATCGAGTGGAAGCTAAATGGGAAACGACGAGTTGGGCATCCGAGGGTGAGATGGAGGAGATGGTGTGAGGAAGAAGTGAGAGCTGGTGGGCAGTTGTGGAGTGAGGTTTGAAGGGCTGGAGAGAAGAGAGTGAAATAGTGACGTGCTACTGAAGGTCTACGTTCCACTAGGAACTCAAGGGATAAATAATAACAATAATAATAACAATATCTATTGATCAAGTAGAATAAACACTAACAAGAAGAAATTTTACAGTTGATGGGAAAAATAAACATGATACAAAGTTGTAGATGATCGTCAGTATATATACGATAACTGTACTGACATATATCTGAATGGGAAACACAATCGATATTTTTTATCAATTATAATCGTAACTGTAGAAATCTACTTTCGTTAATCACTTGTTCTAGACAGAAAGCCTACTTGGAACATAATCAATCATTATCAACATACGACCAGGCGTTACTGCATAACGCTCCGAGTTGCCACACCTCACGTCAGTTCATCAAGTAGAAAGGTAGTGAGGTGAAGATGAAGATAAGTGAATGCAGTCAAAAGAAATATAAAGTACGAGAAGAAAGGAAAGAGGAGTGACAAAATAGTGAGATTCGGTATAGCGTTGTTAAGATGAGGATAATGTGTGTATACATCTGCGCCACTGACATCGGTCCCCAGCCATATCACCTAGAGTCTCCAACCACTGGTTCCTCTTGTCCCGTGGACCCCAACCACCTAGTCTGCATCGTCCTACATGGCTTAAACCAACAGTCAGAGACTTCATACATTGGTGCCATGTTTTAGTCTGGCCACTCGAGCCTTTTTCCAGGTGGCGCAAATGGCAAAAGTCAACCGAGCCTTTTGTATCCGTGCAGAAATCTCATCGGCAACTAACCCACCGGGTTGATCCTACTTCCCAGGTAAGTGAAGTGGTCAACACACTCAACCACTTCACTCTCTATTGTTAACCGCGGTACCGCTGAAGACCAGTCCTGGAGCAAAAATTTGCATTTGGGTGGTGAAAATCGCATCCCAAACATTCTCAAATTCCCACTCAAAGTGTTCAGAAGACTCTGCATCTTGTCAGCGTCTTCACCTAACAGGACTATGTCATCTGCATATTCTAGATCTAAGGAAAATTCACCTGTGATCCGGTCAACGTCTTTGTAATTAGGTGACGAGAGGGAAACCTCCATAAGAATATCTATGATAAAATTAAATAAGAATGGGGATAGTGGGCATCCTTGACGGACACCACTTGATGAGTATAGCTCCCTGGACAACTCACCATAGGCTCTAACATGCCCACAAGTGTTCGAGTAGAGAGCTTTCAATAAGGTGATGTACTTACTAGGCACGCCTTTCAGTGACAGACACTGCCATAAGACTTCTCGATCAACGGAGTCAAATGCCGCCTTCAGGTCGAGAAATACAGCTATTGTCGGGCGTCTGTAAGCATGCCTATGTTCCAGGACCTGGCGCAGTGTGAATATTTGGTCGATACATCCACGGCCAGGTCTAAAGCCTGCCTGGTTTTCTCGGGCTTGCTGTTCCCGAGCTCCACTCAGGCGTCGGAGAATTATAGAACTTAGGATCTTAGACACTATGTTTGTCAGGCTGATTCCTCTGTGGTTATCACAAGAGGACTTCTCGCCTTTCTTGAAGA